GGGCAGGGAGGGGCAGGAGGGATCGGGATGTGCTTGGACACACCACAGGATCAGGGCGGGGGGGGATCAGAATGCATCAGGGAAAGAGGGATAGGGTTCTGTTGGGATCAGGCTGTGCTGAGAAAACAGGGATCAGGTTGTGTTGGGATAGGAAGGATCAAGTACTCTTGGGATCAGGCTGTGTTGGGATCGGGCACTGCTGGGATCGGGCACTGTTGGGATCAGGCACTGTTGGGATCGGGCACTGTTGGGATCGGGCTCTGTTGGGATCGGGCTCTGTTGGGATCGGGCACTGTTGGGATCGGGCACTGTTGGGACAGGAGGGATCAGGCACTGCTGGGATCAGGCACTGCTGGGATCAGGCACTGTTGGGATCGGGCACTGTTGGGATCGGGCACTGCTGGGACAGGAGGGATCAGGCACTGCTGGGATGAGGCACTGTTGGGACACTGGGTGAGGGTGAGGATGTGTCAGGATGAGGGTTCAAACCCCCCAAACTCCCACCCCAGCCCCCCCCGAGCTCTCCCTGTGCCCTGGCACCACCCCCCAGGGAGGGATTTTGGGATCTGAGCCAGCACAGAGCTCCCCTCCAGGAGAGATCCCAAAACAAACACCCCTGTACCTTCTTGACGGCGTATTTGGGGTCGGTCGGAAGGATCAGCACGATCTTCCCATCCCAGAATTCCGCCACGACTCGCTCCTTCTTCCAGCCCTGCCACGGAGAGGGGGAAACATCCCAAATAAACAGGGGAGGAGGGAGGAAGTGATTCAGGGTTAGGGTGAATTCCAGACGCTGGCAGAGGCTGCTGGAATACAACTGCTCCAGCTTTCGGGAATCGAGTCAAATGCCAGCCATCCCCCCGGGCTGGAACAACCCAAACCGCACCTGAGCCTCCCCTCTGGATATAAACTGCCTGCCTGGCTGCACCTGGATAGGGAATCACGGATATTTCAGGTGGGAAAAGCCCTCTGGGGAACGTGGAGCCCAACAATTCCCCCGTTACTTCCAGGGCCACCACTGATCCCCGTCCCCAAGTGCCACATCCACAGGGATTTCAGGGATGGGGAACCCTTTCCATGAAGGAATTTTTCCCAGCTTTTTTTTTTTATTTTCCCCACCAGGCAGCTTTCCAGACACTCCTTTCCCCATCTTGGGAGCGTCCCAGGGGGTCGATCCAAGCGATCCAAGCGAAGGGCCCGGCACAGGCTGATCCTCCCAGGGGTCCAGCCTGCCCAGATCCCTCCGCAGAGACCCCTGCCCTGCAGCAGATCCCGTATCCCAGCCCATCCCGGTCCCAGGCGTGCCCTCACCACGTATCTGAGAGCCTCCAGGAACCTCTGGTGGTGCTGCAGGTGCTGGGCCTCGTCCTCCGGGCTGGCAGCTGAGTAGATCATCCCGCAGGATTTGCACATGATGGCCCCAAAGTGCTTCTGACCCGCGTCCTGGGGGCACAGAGAGCCAGGGCAGCAACCCAAGGGGGCACAGAGAGCCAGGGCAGCAACCCAGGGGGGCACAGAGAGCCAGGGCAGCGTCCCAGAGCCCCTCAGGCCCCTCAGCACCCGCTCCAGGGGGAAGGATTTGCTCCCAGATGGACTGGGGGACGGGGATTGCCCCCAGGGAATGCACTGAATGGAGGATTGAACGAGACCAGCTGAGGAAGAAACGGAAAGGAGCCTCGCAAAAATAAAGGAGCGGAGGAAAACTGTGGGGTTTTGGCCAGCTCCCTGAAAATAGGTAATTTTTGTCTGGGAGCAGAGGGAAGGGAAAGCTGTTTGGGTCCCCTAAACCCCTGGTTTTTACCTCAGATCCCCTCAGAGCCTTCCTCGAACTCCTCCAAACCCACCGTTTTTACCCCAAATCTCCCAAAACAGATTAAAATCGGGAATTTTACCCTTAATTTCCCCTCCAACGCCTCCAAAAATAACAGTTTTACCCCAAATCCCCTCACAGACTCCCCAAAAACATGGGCTTTACCCTGAATTCTCCCTCAAACTCCCCAATAACACCACTTTAACTATAAATCCCACACACACTCCCCAAAACCTCCCTAAAAATGTGATTTTTACCCCAAATCACCACTCAAAGTCCACCAAAACCTCATTTTTACCTCAAATCCCCTCAGACCCTTCCTCAAACTCATCCAAATTCGCTGTTTTTACCCCAAATCCCTCCAATTGATTAAAATCAGGACTTTTACCCCAAATTCCCCCTCAAACTCAAAAATGCCACTTTTACACCAAATCCCCTCACAAACTCCCCCAAACCATCTATTTTACCCTAAATTCCCCTTCAAATTCACCAAAACCGTGGATTTTATTCTAAATTCCCCCTCAAACTCATCAAAGTCCACACCTTTGCCCCAATTACTCTCACACTTCCCAGAAATTCTCAAAAAATGTGATTTTTTACTCCAAATCACCCCTCAAAGTTCCCCAAACCCCTGTTTTTTGCCTCAAATCCCCTCCTCAAAATACTCCAGAGCCTTTTTTAACTCAAATCCCCTCACTAACACCCCAAAACCACCACTTTTACACCAAATTCCCCCTCAAGCTCCCCAAAAATGTGGTTTTTACCCCAAAGTCTCCGTCAAACTCAAAACCCACCCTTTTGTCCCAAATCCCCTCAACACAACCCAAAACCTCACTAAAAATGTGACTTTTAGCCCAAAGCCCCCATCAAATTCCCCAAAAACCTGTTTTTTACATTAGATACTCAGATCCTCCCTCAAACTCCTCCAAACCTGACATTTTAAACCCAAATTCCCCAAAACAGGTTAAAATCGGGACTTTTACCCAAATTCCCCCTCAAACTCACCAAAAATGCCACTTCCAGCCCCAAATTCCCTCAGACTTCCCCTAAAACTCACTGAAAATGTGGCTTTTACCCCAAATCACCCCTCAAAGTCCCCAAACCCCCATTTTTTACCTCAAATCCCCTCAGAGCCTTCCTCCAACTGCTCCAAACCTGCTGTTTTTACCCCAAATCCCCTCACAAACTCCTCAAAACCACCACTTTTACCCCAAATCCCCTCAAAACTCCCCCAAAAGATGGGTTTTACCTGAAATTGCCCCTCAAACTTCCCCAAAATATCACTTTGACCCGAAATCCCCTCACAAACTCCTCAAAAACGTGGCTTTTACCCCAAATTCCCCCTCAAACTCATCAAAGCCCACGCTTTCGCCCCAAATCCCCTCACACTACCCCAAAACTCGCCAAAATCGCAACTTTTACCCCAAATTACCACTCAAAGTCCCCCAAACCCTGTTTTTTTTACCTCAAACCCCTCAGAGCCTTCCTCCAACTGCTCCAAACCCGCCGTTTTTACCCCAAATCCCCTCACAAACTCCCTAAAAACATGGAGCTTTTTGCCAAAACGTGTCTCAATGGTAAAAAAAAAAAAAGAAAAAAAAAAAAAAAAAAAAAAAAAAAAAAAAAAAAAAAAAAAAACACCAACAAAACACCTTTACCGTCAATTTGGGGTTAAAATTGTGGGAGTTCCTTTTTTTTCTATTTCCCCCTCCCCCCCAATTTTTTGGGTTTAAATTGAGGGGTAAAAAAACCCCTCCCTTTTCCCTCATTTTAAGGGGATTAAGTTGAATTCAAAGCGTTTCTCGGTTGGGACCTTCTCCCAGCTGCCCATTCCCGATTCCTGCTCCCATTTTCCAGCTCTGACCTCCTTTCAGGGATCCCCTCACGGAACATTCCCGCTTTCCTCATCCCAAAATTCCCCCCCTCACCGTCCCCCCCCAGGGCCCGGCACATCCTTACAATGATCATCTGATCCCGGGAACGCCCGCAGAGCTCCTTGGCCTTCCTGCTCTTCTGGGAGGCGTGAGGGGCTTTTCCAGGTGGGCTGCTCCCGAACGGAGAGGGAATCTCATCCAGCGGCCTGGAAACCACGGAAAACAGAGGGAAAAAGAGTTGGGAAAGAGCTCAGCCAGGGGCAGGGGGGTGGTTGTGATCCCAGAGCGTCTCAGGGAGGGAAAAGCTTTCCAGGAGCTGCGGAGGGAGGACCCAGGAAAAGCCATAATTGCATAAAAAGTTAATTAACTCCGGATTAAGCAGCTCTGCCATCCTAACTCCAAGATCTTGGAAATTCAGCAGCAAACTGAAGGGATGAACAAGGCAAAGTGAGGAGCAGAGGGTGAGATCCATGAATGGAACAGTGGAAGGTTCCCAGCTCACGGGACGGAATGGGATGAGCTCTGAGGTCCCTTCCCACACCCGATCCATGTGGGATACCTGGACAAAGCCAGGGATAAGGGTCCTGCCCTGCCAGGGGTGTGGAAACACCTGGAATCACCAGGTGTGGATCCAGGAATAGGAGAGCTGGGAATGGCCAGGCTGGAGAAGGGAAGGATCCAGGGAGAGCTTGGAGCCCCTTCCAGAGCCTGCAGGGGCTCCAGGAGAGCTGGAGAGGGATTTGGGATCAGGGCCTGCAATGACTGGAAGGACACAGGGAATGGCTTCCCACTGGGAAAGGGGAGATT